TATTTGTTGACATTTGGAATGCACGTATCCTTTAAAGTGATACTTATAGGATTAATACCTACATTTATGTTTCCAAGTGCATAAAAGAGAGATTATAAAAATGTTTTTTGTACCAGGTTGTTTTTGCTGTGTACGACAGAGTCAAAATCAACTCATAGCTGACCTTTTGTGCAGCCTATCTGCATCATCCTCATAATCTACTTCATGCTGATGACCTTTTCAGAGGCAGTTCATCACATGGGTGGAGATTGCCCATCTTCTCCCATGGAGTTACTGGTGGCCTTGAACTAAATGCCTTCAGGATTGCAGCAAAGCTTCTTGCCACTAGGCCACCAGAGCCCATATTTCTTTAAAAGTATACTTTAATCTTGGAAAAAAATTAATTTTCTAGAAAAAATTGTGCAAAATAAATAAATTCACATTTGTCCTCTTTCCTCTTTATTCACAGTTGCTCTTATTATGAGATTCTTCCATGGAAGCATCAATCAAGATCAAATGGCATATTGTATTAGGAAATCAACTAGAAAGGACTTCTCTGAAGTTCTAAAGAGCAAAGAGGCAACTTTAAAAATTAAATTATGTTTGACTCACCATAAAATTGTGGGGGATTTTTTATTTTTTAAAAAACAACAAACAGGTTTTATTTTCCATTTTTTCCCATTGTTGCACATTTTCTCCCCCTGACATTCCCCCTTCCCCAGCCCTCCCTGAAATGCATCCTTTGTTCCAAATTGTTGTCATTCATATAATACCTAATCATATATTCCTTTCAGACAGTTCTTCCCCTCGTCTGATGTATGTATGGCAGTGTTCAAACCATAACGTTTTTGATTGCTTCATAAGCACGTGAAAGTTGGACAATGAATAAGAAAGATCAAAGAAGAACTGATGTCTTTGAATTGTAGTGTTGGCAAAGAATGTTAAATATGCTATAAACTTTCAGAATAACAAACATGTTTTCTTGAGAAGCCAATCCCTGGGAAGGGACATCATGCTTGGAAGTCAGAGTTGGCGGAAGAAAAATATCTTCACAAGACGGATTATTACAGAGGCTGCAATAATGAACAAAAACACAGAAGAGATTGCGAGATTAGTACAGGATTGAGCTGTTTCATTTTATTATGCATAAAGTGATGTGTTACAGAGGCTAAAGTTGTATGGGAGGGGATTGTCCACCTTTCTCCCATAGAGCAGCAGGTGGATAGATTCAAACTGAGTACCTTTGCTTTGGCAGTTCAATTCACTAAGCCACAAAACCTCCCTAAATTTATCCAAGGTACTAGGTGCATTTATTACAATTGATTAATCATTATTTACTACTGTTGTTGTTGTTGTTGTTGTTGTTGTTGTTATTGTTGCTGTGTGTGATCGAGTCACCTGCTACTCATAGCAGCCCTATGTACAAGAGATTTACTTGAAAGTCAAGTGTAAATTGTTTGTAAACTATCCTATACCAATCTTATTGTCTCTAATACACCTACCCCCATTATCCCAGTCACTGAATCAATCCATCTCATTGAAGGTCTTCCTCTCCTGCGCCGTCCCTCCACCTTCCCAAGCATGATGCCCCTCTCCAAGAGCTGGTCCCTCCTTGCAACATGTCCAGAGTATGTCAGACAAAGCTTCAGAATCCTTGCCTCCAAGGTGCAGCGTGGTTTAACCCTCTCTAAGATGAACTTGTTCCTTCTCTTAGCAGTCAGTACTCTTCTCCAACACCACAGCTCAAAGGTGTAAATTCTCCTTCTATCATCTCTAATCATAGCTCAACTCTCTGATACATAACAAGTGATTGCAAAGACCACCACTTGTATCAGGTGCTCTTCAGTAGTCTGAAGATTACCTAATTGTTCTTCCGTACTCTGGAGAGGTCTCTGACAGCAGACTTTCCCAATGCAACACATCTTTTAATTTCCTGGCTGCTGATGCCAAGAGTGTTGATTGTGGAGCCAAGCAAACTAAATCTGTTAACAATATCAATCTTTTCACCATCTATCATGATGTTGCCAATTGGTCCAATGGTGGTAATCTTTGTTTTCTTGATATTGAGCTTCGGTCCGTATTGAAGACTGCAGTCCTTGACCTTCTGTAGCAAGTGCTTTAGGTTCTCCTCAGTTTCAGCAAGCAAGGTTGTGTCAGTCATCTGCATAACACAGATTGTTGATGAGTCTTCCTCCAATCTTGATGCCACATTTCTTGTCATATAGCCCAGCCTCCCGGATAATGTGTTCTGCATATAGATTAAAAAGGTACAGAGATAGGACATATCCCTGGCATACACCCTTCCCAATTTTGAACCATGCAGTGTTCCCTTGCTCCAACCTGATGACTGTCCCCTGGCCCATGGTTTTGCATAAGCATGATCAAGTGTTCTGGGATTCCCATTCTTTTCAGAGTCAGCCGCAGTTTGTTGTGGTCCACACAGTCAAACGCCTTTGCATAGTCAATGAACCACAGAGAAGACATTGTTCTGGTACTCTGTTTTCAGCCAAGATCTATCTAACATCAATTACAATATCCCTAGTACCATAGTCTCTTCTAAAACCAGCCTGCACTTCTAGCAGTTTTCTGTTGATGTGCTGTTCGAGTCATTTTTGGATAATCCTCTGCAGAATCTTGTCTGCATGTGAGATTAATGATATTGTTCAATAATTTCCACACTCTGTCAAATCACCTTTCTTTGGAATGGAAACAAATATAGATTTCTTGCAGTCAGTTGGCTAGGTGGTTGTCCTCCAAATTTCTTGGCATAATTTGGTGAGCACATCCACAGCAGCATCTGTTTGTTGAAATACGTCAGTTGGTATACCATCAATTCCTGTGGTCTTGTTTTACCAATTCTTTCAGAGCAGCTGGAACTTCTTCCTTCATCACCATAGGCTCTTGTTCATACATTGTTTCATTAAAGTCTTCTGTGTCCCCAGTTCCTTTTGGTACAACTCTGTATACTCTTTTCATCTTCTTTTAATACTTCCTGGATTTGGGCCCTTTGATTTTCTGACTCCATCTCTGCACATTTCATTATAATACTTTACTTTGTTTTCCTGTACTGCCCTTTGAAATCTTCTGTTCAGCTCCATATTACCTTTATTTCTTCCCTTTGCTTTGGCTTCTTGGTGCTCTACTCAGACTCTCCTCTGATGTCTATTTTGGTCTTTTTGTCCTACTCTGTCTTTATAATGACCTTTGGCATTCTTCCTGGATGATATTCTTTTGATTTCCTCCCACAGCTCATCTAGTTTGCTCAGTAGTGTTCAAAGCGTCAAACCTGTTCCTAAGATAATTTTGAAATTTATGTGGGATAGAGTCAAGGTCATATTTTGGTTCCCAAGGATTTGGTTTCTTTTCCTTAGCTTCAGCTTGAAATTGCATATGAGTATTTGGTGGTCCATTCCACAATTAGCCCCTGGTCTAGTTTTCACAGCTGATATTGAGCTTCTTCCACAGATGTAACTGATCTGAGTCCTATGCCTCCCATTAGGTGAAATCCATGTATATAGTCTGCATTTATATTTCTTATGAAATGTATTTGCAATGAATAAATCATTGATTGTGCAAAATTTTATCATTCTATCTCCTGCTTAATATCTGTTACCAAGTCCATGTTTTCCAACTACTGATCCTTCTTCTCTGTTCCCAACTTTTACATTCCAGTCACTTAATGCATCTTGATTGCATGTTTGATCGATCTCTGACTACAACAGTTGGTAGAAATCTTCTAGTTTATTATTAACTAAAGCTAGTAATTTACATTAGCAGTAATCTTTAGTGTTGTACACCATTCCTACAGGTTTTGACAGTGCATAATGTCATATATCCACCTTACACTATAATGCAAAGTTGTTTCACTTCTTTTAAAAATAGGGAGATTAATCCATTGCCATCATTTTCAATTACAAAATAATATTGAATTATAAGATGCTATTACAAATATAGTTTAACATAATAGTTACCATGGACTGCAAAAGAAAAATCAAGTATGTCCTGGAGAGGGTGGAACTGAGTTGCTCCTTAGAGGCAAGGATTTTGAAGCTCAATCTGACATACTTTGGACATGTTGCCAGAAGGGACTAGTCCTTTGTGAAGGACATCATGCTTGAAGAGTGGAGAAACAGTGTAGGAAAGGAAGACTCCAGATAGATGAATTGGCACAATAACTAGAGTAATGGGGGTAGCTGTGTGGGAGACACTGAGACTAGCTCCTGATAATACAGAGTTCAGAGTTGTTGTGCTTAGGGTTGCTATGAGTTGCAGGTGACTCAATGGCATATAATAACAACAACAAACATTAAACAAGTGAAATAAATTTATATATGCTGATACACAAGTTGTCCACTATTTAGTAAATAACACAATAGATCTCATTTTTTTTAACTGTGTGTACAGCATTATATTTTGGTGTTTGGTTTATATGTTCACTGTTGTTGTTGACATTAGGAACTGTCAAGTCAGCTCTTACTCATAGAGACTTTTTGCATAAGAGAACAAAAGCATACATGTTAACACAAGTATGTCTGGGAAGTCATTTGAGAAGGATTTGAAGACAAAGTTAGATTTCATTTTTTTTATTTTCTGCACTTTCTAAAATTACGCAAGTCTTGTCTTCCTGAAATAACCTTCATTCAAATGGTAGACATTGAGTAATATGATGTCTGCAACTAATAACCCACCAAATGAAATGTTAGGAAATGAAAGAAACCAAATGATTTCATATCAGCAGCTAACTCCTGATTGGTTGCCAATCTCTTGCTCCTGAGTTTAAATTCCTTCTACAAACTGCTACAAATCAAAGAGTAATATTATTCACTAGTAAACTGGAGAAAACAACTGAATTTTGAACATTGTTTTACCTGTACCCTTAGTCTGGTACATAAAGGTAACATTAATTGGCAATGTTTCAAATAGAGCATTTATTATTATTAAATAATTTTTCAAAAGGAAAAACAGAAGAAACACTAATATTGTTTACTATTTGTTTGTTTTTACAGATAACAATTTAAAACATGAAGACTATAATTCTACTATTATTTCTTCTAGAATCAACTCAATCATTACCAGTAAGTGCATGTTTGTGTTATGTACCAATTCCCTTAGCACAGTATCTATAGTAGACTCTTTCCCTTCCCATTTGCCATGAGAACTACTTTATTCTGTGATCCATTCCCTTCGTTTTCTGTTTTCCTTCTCCAAGGTGAAAAATTGTTCATTTGTATGAAGATTAACTTGTATGAAAGTCTTAAAGAGTGTTTGTATGAAAGCTTAATCTGTGTGAAAGTCTTAAGGCATAGCCCAATGTTTCTCACTTTTTTAAAATGCATTAATTTTATCATGGTAAAATTTCACTCACTTTGGTAGATCATTAGGTAGAAATATGAGAGTAAAAAAGTGCCTCAGGTTGCATATGCCTAAAGCTTTCATGTACAATTATTTTCTTTTCCAAGAAGAATTTCTTAGTAACTAGTTAACTGTGGCTAAACTGGTGACCTACATTTTCTGGTTTTTCCAATTGCAAGCACAAAACTCTGGGTGCTGTACATATAAAAAATTTACAAAATTATACATTAGTTGTTGTTAGGTGATTTAAGTCTGCCTCAACTCATAGCAACACCGCCTACAAAAAAACAAATCAAACACTACTCTGTCCTCACAATCATTGTTTTGTTTGAGCTCCTGTTTAAGTCACTGTATCACTTTATTTCACTAAGGGGCTTTCTCTTTTTTCACTTACCTGCTACTTTACTAAGCATGGTATCTTTCTTAGGGATTTGACTCTCCTAATCATCAAATCCAAAAAATAATATCAAAGGAATATTAAAAAGGTCTGTATTTGTTGCTAAGCTTAGGGTTGGTAGCTTGCACTCATCAGTTATTCCTTGAGAGAAAGATGTGGCAGCCTGTACTATGAAGATTACAGACTAGAATACCCTATGTGGTATGTCTATTCTGCCTTATAAGATAGCTATGAGTTGGAATCAACTTGATGGCAATAGAATGTGTTTAATGGCAGTAATTTTGATTTGAAATATTTCATCATAAAATGTGCTTGCACATAACAAATTTTTGAAAGAAGCACATGAGTTGAAATGCATACTCTCATTGTCTTTCAGATGTTGTATAGATAGAGATAGGTGCTTTTTGTGTCTCAGTGGGTTGTTCTTTGGCTGTTTGAGATGCTTCAGTGTGGACAATAGAGAAAAGAAATTAGAAGATGTTTTCTATGAAATATGTTGATGTTTGTTGTCAGGTGACACCTGAGATATAGGGGGGAGAGAGAGAGAGATGTTATTGTTGTTGTTTTCATGTGCTGTCGAGTCGCTTGTGACTCATAGTGACCCTATGTATAACAGCCCTAAACTTCACTCTGTCCTGTGCCAATCGCACTGTCTCCGATACACCCATCCCAATTACCCCAGTCACTGAATCAATCCACCACATAGAGGGCCTTCCCCTCCTGTGCTGTCCCTCCACCCTACCAAGCATGATATCCCTCTCCAAGGACCGGTCCCTCCTTACAACATGTCCAAAGTATGTTAGACGGAGCCTCAGAATCCCTGCCTCTAGGGAGCCGCCCGATTTAACTCTTTCCAAGATGAATCGCTTTGTTTTCCTAGCAGTCCATGGTACCCTCAGTACTCTTCTCCAGCACCACAGCTCAAAGGCATCAATCCTCCTCTATCCTCCTTGTCATTGTCCAACTCTCTGATGCATAACAAGTGATAGCAAAGACCATGGTCTGTGTCCGACACACCTTAGTCTCTCTCTCTCTGTATGTGTGTGTGTGTGTATCCCTCAGTTAAGCTTCAAGCACATTAGATATTTCAAGTCATTCATTCAAAAATTAGTAACTATCTACTGAAAAATTTCTATGTGCCACACATGCTAATTGTTGAATATATTATTGTAAGAAAATTTTAAACCCCATAATTCCTCTTAGTGTTCAGAAGAAATATAATATCAATCAAATAAGCCTTGGATAAAAATATTACATTATAACCAATTAGTTAAATGTAGGAGATAAACAGTGAACTTACAGGGGTAATGCAAGTCCTGAATAAGCAATCTCCATCATATTTCATCTCAAAAATACATTTTTCATCCTTGAAAGAAGTTTAATCTTTTAAATGATTTAAGATAGAAAAAAACAATTTTCAATTCTTCATATAAATTTGCCAGAGTAAATTTGCCAGAGTAAAATTGCACTTTGTAAAGTGCTCTCTCTACTATTTGCAAATTGTTGTGAAATTTGTGAAAGTTTAAGATAAATAAAACTTTGCAGGAACTCAGTTTTAGTCAAGGTGGACTGAAGAACAAGTGCAAGCTAAAACCTATTGTTAATAGCCCAATCGGAGAGCTCTGGTGGCCTGTGAGTAGGGAGTTGTCTGTCAACCCAAAGACAGACAGTTCAAATGCACTAGATGGTCCTTGGGAGAAATATAGACCTTCTCCTCCCATGCAATTTATAGCCTCTCCAAACCTGCTAAATGATCAACTATGAGTCAGTTCTAATTCAACAGCAATGAGGCCTTTTTTATAATATCCAATAGTGTGAAAGCAACTAGATAGGGAAAGGGGTTGGGGGTGTGACACTAAAAAAATTATTTTTTAAAAAAAAGAAAACTCTACAAGCTATAGAAACAATTTTATCAAATTAAAAACCATCAGATGAGCAAAGTATTTTTTTTAGTCTTTGTTAATTAATTTATTGAATTCCCCAAAAAAAGCACTTTTAAAACAATTTGTAAGTATACTTTTAAAACAATTTGTAAGTATAGATTCAAATATCAGCTGATAACTCTTTTCACAATGTCAGGAGTTTGGATACAGGTTCCAAAGAATATTATCCAGAAAGGAAAGAAATATGTGAGACAAACCAAGGTCACAGCTTGTGTTAGGGTGGTATTGTGTACTATAGGGTCAGATCGACCCATACATAGTTGAACCTCTGGCGAGTTTTCAGGGAATCTCTTTCTAGAGATTCTTTAATAAAAGATTCTATTCCTTAAGCAAAAAATTTCATACTTACTGCATGCTATGCATTAAATTTTATCTGCTTTGGATAGCTCTTGAGAAGCTTGTATTTTAACAAAAGAGAAATGATAAAAGTAATCATAAATCAGTAAGTTACATAATGCAGTAGTGGAAAGAAGAATGCCAAGCTGAATAAGGTTAACTAGGGGAGTGAAATTAGTTGTAAGACAGATTGAATATTCAGGACAGTGGTCGGTGTAGACCTCAATAAAAAAGTGAATTTCAGCAAAGACTTGGAAGAAGGTAAGGAGTGAGTCTTTCTTGTAGATATCAGGGGAAAGAAATTTCAGATAGAAGGCAGGGGTGAAGAAAGAACTGAGGCAAGTTTGGCTTTGACCTGTTCTCAGGACACCGAGGAGCACAGTGAACAAAGTGAGGCAAATGGCCAGAGAGATGCTGGTGGCTTAACTCATGAAAGCCATTGTCAAGTCTTTGGGGTGTGTGTGTGTGTGTGTGTGTGTGTGTGTGTGTGTGTGTGTGTATCTGGCAGGGGGTGTTTTGTTTTTCTGAGTGAAATAGAAAGCCAGTGGAAGGGCTGAGAGTGGCAAGATCAGACTTTTTTCTCAAAAGTTTATTTCAGCTCCCATACTAACAAATTTTTAGTTGTGTTGTTGTTGATATTGTACTGTGCCAAAACTTAAAGACTATATTTACATAACCTTAAAGATACCTCCAAGTTCCTTTTCCACACTTTTAACAACTGAGATGGAAAAACTCCAGTCAAAATAAAAGGCAGTGGCAGCTCTAAGCAAGATAACCTAAGTCCAAGGTTACCTAAGAACTGGCCCTGTGCTCAAAGTCCATGTCACATTGTCCTCTGGAAAGTAGATAGGAGCAAAGATCAACTTGGGTCAACCTGTCCAGGATGCTTCTGCTTGATTGCAGAGTGTGTGCTGAGATACAAAGGAGGAACTTATTTCTTAAAGCCCAAAGCCCTTGTAGGGATTCTAGTATTGGCTCTGCTCCTAATCTTGTCATTTTGAGCAAGTTGGGTTTTTTCCTCTTTGGGCCTCAGCTTCCCAATGTATACCAAAACCATAAAACTAACTCATGATAATTATAACAAATATTTTCACCCCACAAAACCTCTATTTCTTTTAAAAAGACTATTATTATTTGTGTGTGTATCGTCAAATTGGATCTGACTGGTACAGGAAGTGATTGCCCCTCCTTCTTCATTACAGCATCTGGTGGATTCGAACCACATACCTCTGGGATTGCAGTGCAATTTCTTGCCACTAGGTCATCAGAGCTCCAATCCTATGTTACTTAACACACCATGGAAATACCTTAGCCAAGAAATGGAAGTGACATCAGAAGATGAGGCAAAAAAAGGAAACTTTGTGGAAATTAAGAAATTCATGGCAATTTCCCTTTAAGCATTAGGAAAAAAGACAAAAACTCCAAGATCTAAGGTAAAGACCACATAGTTAAAGTGTTGGCAAAGAAGAGAGCAGTTATTGAAAAGAAAAGGGAACCGGAAACTACCAATAGAAATTCCACATGCCCATCATGAGCCTATGTTGCATCCACACTTCACTTCTGTATCCATTTGCTCTCCTATTTTTCCACTACACTTTGATATGTACAAAATGTTCCATTCTTACCAAAGAATTAAAATTGGTTCAAAACAAACAGTGCCTAAAGAAAGACACTTTTACATTTGCTGGCCACCTGTTAACTCTTAGGCATAAATAAATATACTTCCTCAAACATACTCCTGCCTCAACAAATATTTGTTACCACAGATACAGCTCAATCCTGCTTTGGGACTTCCTCAGGCAAAGCTTGTTCCGGATCAGACAACACTGCTGAACCAACAGCAGCCAAATCAGGTAAACATGTTTTGATAGAGAATATTGGTAAGCCAGGAAAGAAAACACGTTAGAACTACTGGATTTAAAAATTAAGATTTACACAATCTCTGACTCAACAAGAAGGAAACTTTCTTTAAATTTTATGTTTAATAAAACATAAGAACTAGTGATTATTTTTTTTAAATTTGACTAAGGAAAGCAATTCATCCTCACTCTTTTCTCTTTTGCATGAATAGTAATCTAGCTTAGCAAGCAAATGAAGTAAACTTTGAAAATTAACGACTACACTTATTTTTGAAAGTTTGTCATCTATGCAGTTGAGATAGCATATATGATATTTTTCAGAATTAATAAGAATCAAAAGTTGATCTATAATGATAAATGCACATTTCTTCATGGTTTTTTTTAAGGGAAATTTTATATTTTCTGATGAGCTAGCTGATAAGTTATTGTAAAATCTGTTCCTTGAAGCACACTTAAATACTTTTGAAATTACATTATCTCTTAGCTACTAGGTGTCTCTCTGGAGACTAAGGTGCACCTGATACAGGCCATGGTTTTTGCAATCACTTGTTATGCATCAGAGAGTTGGACAATGACTAGGGAGGATAGAAGGAAAATTGATGTCTTTGAGCTGTAGTGCTGGAGAAGAGTATTGAATGTACCATGGGCTGCCAAGAAAACAAACAGATTCATCCTAGAGAGGGTTAAACCAGGCTGCTCCTTGGAGGCAAGGATTCTGGGGCTTCGTCTGACATACTTTGGACATGTTGTAAGGAGAGACAGGTCTTTAGAGAGGGACATCATGCTGGGCAGAGTGGAGGGACAGCACAGGAGGGGAAAATCCTCTATGAGATGGATTGATTCGGTGCTGGGGTAATCGGGATGGGTGTGTCAGATGCAATGAGATTGGCACAGGATAGAGCAGGGTTTAGGGCTGTTGTACATAGGGTCGCTATGAGTGGCAAACGACTTGACGGCACATAACAACAACAACAACAACTTAGCTACTAGAACTACCTCACACTCTTACCTTCCCTCTATTCTGAAGGACCCTCTCCTTACCTCATTCCAGACTTTATGAACTAGTACAGATAATGCTAGAATCTAGAATTCTTTTATTACTTCTATGAATATTATAGAACATTCAAGTCGGGAGTCAGTCTTAACCTTCAAGGGAGTACCTAGGACTCATGTCATTTGAAGGTTTTTGTGGTGGCCTATGGGTAGGGAGTTACACTACCAACCCAAAGTTAAGCAGTTCAATTCCAGCAGCCGCTCTACAAAATGGACAATCTCCAGTGTAATGTACAGCGAGAGGGTCAGCTATGATTCAGTTCCAACTCTAGGTTAGTGAACAATAATAACTAGAAGAAGAAGAATATGAAATTAAACATAAAATTGTGTCCTAAAGTGAACATTTATTTAGAACAAAAAATAAATGAGTATTTTTAAGATGAATAAATACTGTAACTTGCTAATTTGCTTCCAGGGCCTTGGAAAGAGCCAATGTGAGTAAGAGGCCCTGAAGTTTCATCTTCATTTACCTTCACTGTAAATACAACTCTGACTTGAATATAGGTTAACTGAGCAGATCCACCTGGGTGAAGGCATTCACATACTCTTTCTCATAAATTAATTTCAAAACCCTGCAGGTCTTCACTTCTTTGGGTCTAATACCACTGACACAGCTGCTCACACTGGGGTCAGATCTGCATCTTGTAAGTACTCTTTTATATCATTATCCTACCAACTGTTACATATAATACCTGATGTTGAGCTTATATGCACACGCTCAAACTACAGATAAGGTGAAAGAGAAGATAGATGTCAATCAAAAGAGCACAAAAATATTTTCATAAAAAATATTTGTAGAAATTAAGCTGGTTTAATATTTTCTCTGCTTATCTCTTCTCTGAGATCCCTTCTAAATCCCACTGCAGAATCTCTTCACTGCCGCCTATGTCATTCAGACAACCCACACACAGTGACTAAATCATCACTTCAATAATAAGAGCAAGCTAGAAGGCATATAAAGATTGTCAGTCTTCTCATAGAATCTCTGCAAACTTCAATTAAGAGAAAAAAAATAATTAATGTGTTCCTTTCCTTGCTAGAGCAAGCTTTTACCAGTTATCTAGTTCATATAATAGACTAGATATTTTATTCTGTCTCTCATTTTTTATATGGTTATCTATGAAAAAATTCAATTCTTCATAGAAGAGTCCTAGAAAAATTCCTAGAGATATCTAAAAGGAAAGGATTACTGAAAAATTTACAAAGTGAATTAATTCAATGTCAAATTGGATGTGGAGAAAGTCCTCGATGTTGAATTTGTACGCTTTGTACAACTAAGTCTCTAATTCACATGACACAGAACTTTATTTACATAGCAAAGTCTCCCTTTAAATATATCACCTGTATGGTAAATACATTTTACCTTTCTGAATGTTCAAGCAATTTTTTAAATGAAAATTTCTTTATTGCCCTATAGCTAAATCCTTCTACAGGATTGGCAGCTGGCGCTCAGACTCTTCCATTGAACCTCGGGGCCTTGACTGTGCAGCAGCAGCTTCAATCACAGGTAAGTTCAATAAGGGGGCACTCAATTAACACAGTCAGCAGCAATTTCTCAGGGGGAAATCTAAAAGGGAAGAATATTTCCAGATTCTTTCAAGTTTTACCCAGAGAGTTTACAAAGGAATGTCTTACCGGAAGTAGGAAGTCTTTGGTAAAGTAATCTAGTGCTACTGAAAATCCATGCAAACTCACCCAGAAAACAGAAAGCATAACCCATGTTTTAACCTTTAAGAATATGCTTTTAAGGAGTAATTTGAAAAGTTGAAAACTAAAAAGTAAAGACAGTAAAGGCGTGATTGTGAGATATCAGGATTCTTTTCTAACATACTCCATTTTTTTTAAACCGTGACCAATAACAAGGCTGATAAAATGTATCTTCAGAAAATCTAATCTTAGCTATTCTGTGTCCTTTTTCTATGCCAACTTTAAAGTCTTAAATGACTTCCTAGCTCTTTACCACCATCCTTCATCACTTGCTTTCAGAAAAAATTCTGGAAAACACATTAAGATTTACAAGGTAAAATACTATGCAGCACTCATGAGCAATGATTTCAAAAAATACTATGTAACATGTGAGATCCTAGAGAGCATTATGTTGAGTAAAATAACACAGTCTCATAAGGATAAATACTACATAAGTTCATTATTGTAAAAATAGAAGGATAACTAGTAAAATGTGTACAAATGTCCAAAGAGGAAAGGGGGGAGATAGTGGGGCTAAAAGTGGAATGAAGGAAAATCATGGGGTCACAGAATTTGGTGGGTATAAGGAGAGAATGAAGGAATGCAACAATGAATGAATGGAATCCCAAAATCTCTGTAGATGTTCATTGAAATGAAAAATAAACAACCTAAATTTAAAAAAAAAAAAAAAAAAGCTCCAGTGGGAATCTGAAAAGATGGGGTAGTAGTGGGCGTAGAACCATGGTGATTAATTTTATAAGACACAATGTACAAGAATGATGGTATGAAACACAATGTGAATAAAGGAATGTGTGAAACACAATGTATATGAATTTGGTATGCAAACTAATATATAAACTTTTAAAACACCCAAAAAGGGTGTTCTTTTAAATTTATATTATAAATTTATGTGCTTTATCTACAAAGTCCAAAATTTTATTCTTTTGAGATCTCTCTAAACTTTATAAACTCTAGGGAAAAATATGATAATCCCTTTATGGCTAAAGTCAGTTGTTGTTGTTTGTTGTTGTTATGTGCCATCGAGTCGTTTGCGACTCATAGAGACCCTATGTACAAAACCCCTAAATGCCATTCTATTCTCTGCCAAACTCGCTGTCTCAAACACATTCATTCCCACCACTCCACTCACAGAATCTATCCATCTCATTGAGGGTCTTCCTCTCCTGCGCTGTCCCTCCACTCTGCCAAACATGATGTCCCTCTCCAAGGACCAGTTCCTCCCTGCAACATGCCCAAAGTATGTCAGATGAAGCTTCAGAATCCTTGACTCCAGGGAACATTCTGGCTTCACCCTCTCCAGGACAAACCTGTTCTCCTAGCAGTCTATGGTATATTCAGCACTCTTCTCCAGCACCACAACTGAAAGGCATCAATTCTCTATCATCCCTATTAACTGTCCAACTCTCCGATGCATAGCATGTAATTGCAAAGACTATATTCTGGATAAGGTGCACCTTAGTCTCCAGCCTGATTACGTTGCACTTCGGTACTCTTGAGAGGTCCCTCACAGCTGACAGCAGTCTTATGTAATATTTGTCCTTTTATGACTAAGAATCTGATTCAGCATGATGTCTTCCAGACTCATCCCATAGTGTTTTAGAAGTTCATTGTTTTTTTAATGCTGCATAATATTTCCATTGTGTGAATGTACCACAGTTTTTCTGTCCATTCATTTGTTGACATGTGGATGAGTTGCTTCCATTTCTTTGTTCTTGTGAATAATGTTGTAATAAACATGAGCGCACATACATCTGTTTGAGACACAGCTCTGATTTTTTTTAGGGTATACTTCCAGTAGTGGGATAGCTAGATCAAGTGATATTTCTATTTCCAAATTTTTTTAAAAGACCCAGACTGCCTTCCATAGTGGTTGCAAAATTTATATTCCCACAAAGTGTGAACAAGAGTTCAAAACTCTCCATATCCTCACCAGAATATATTGTTTACCACCTTCATGAAGTTGGCAATTTTTGCTGAGTGGGATGATATCTCATTGTTGTTTTTATTTGCATCTCTCTGATATTTAAGGATTTTGAACACTTTTTTTCATTTCTGTGGGCCATCTGAATTTCTTCTTTGGTGAAGTATGTATTCATATCTTGTGTCCATTTTGTGATGTCTTCTGAAATGCTAGAGTAGTCTATAAATCTTGCATGAGTCCCTTATCAGATTTATCATTGCCAAATATTTTTTTCCCAGCCTGTGTGTTTCAATTTTACTTTATTGGAGACATTTTTGTACATAGGGATTTTATCTGTAGAAGGTCCCATTCATTTATTTTATTTTCTTCTGAAGGGTTTTTGGTTATGCTTTAAAATCTGTTCATGCTGTAAATTAGGGTTTCTAGAGCTGTTCCTCATCTTTCTCTGGTCAATTTTATTCTTTTGAATTTACTCCTAGGTCCCTGATCCACGTTGTGTAGTTTCTTGTGTATAGTGTAAGGTGTGCATCTTGCTTGAGTTTTCTGCAGGTAGATTTACAATTTTGCCAACACCATTTGTTAAAGAGGCTACCATTTTCACACTTAACTGACTGCATCTCTTTGTCAAAGATCAGTCGACCATAAGTAGATGAGTTCATTTCTGGGTTCTTAATTCTATTCCACTGATCTATGCATCTATCACTATTTCAATACCTTGATTACTATGACCACGTAGTAGAATTTGAGATCGGGGAGTGTGATGTCTCCCACTTTGTTTCTCTTTTCCATTAGTACCTTTTTATTTGAAGTCGCCATTCCAGAAAAAAATTGAAAATTTCCTTTTCCATCTCAGTGAAGAATAAAATTTGTGTCTATGTTGGGGTTACATTAAATTTGTAGATTGCATTTTGTAGAACTGTCATATTCATAGTGTTGAATCTTCCAACCATGAGCACGGTATATTCTTCCATTGCTCTAGGTCTCTTTTTCTTTCTTGCAGTCATTTTTTTTGTTTAGATCTTTTAGGACTTTAGCTAGCTTTTATCTTGTGATTATCTATTGTAATTAGTGTTCTTCTTAGTTCTTTCTCTATGTTCTATTTGTTACTGTAAAGAAATCCAACTGATTCTTTTTTTATTATTATTAATTTCAATCAACATCTACAGAGATTTGGAATTCCATTCCTTCATTGTTGCACTTTTCTGCCCGCCCAACCCCCGCCCCCAGTTTGCTCCTCTTCTTGAAAAGCAAAAGAAAAACTTCTTCATTGGTACACAATCCCCCCCATACACCCCCACCCCCACACCAACCCCAAATACATTCTACTCTGCAACCCTCATTCCGGACTCTTATGATAATCATAATGCCCTAAAATATATTACTTTTGAACTATTCTCTTCCTCATCGGCCACAATGCAATAAACATAATTTATCCAGTTTTTCTAAGTCTTAACCCCACCCCGATGTCAGCGTCATTCTACAACAGTGGCACCATATAATATTTGTCCTTTTGTGACTGAGATATTTCACCCAACATAAGGTCCTCCAGGGTCACCCATTTTGAATAATATTTCATGAGTTTCTTGTTTTTCAATGCAGAGTAGTATTCCATTGTGTGAATATACCACTGCTTCTCTACTGATTCTTGTATGTTGATCTTGCATCAAATAATTAGAAACTCACAACCCACATAAACTGACACAGACCAAAGTAGAACACCTAAACAGATCTATAACAAAAGAAATAATTGATCAATTCATACAAAAACTTCCAACAATACAACAAAAATTCTGGACCAGATGGCTTTACTAGTAAATTCTACCAAACATTTAGAGAAGAGCTGTTACCAATTCTACGAAAAATATTTCAGAAAATGGAAAAGGAAGGAATACTCCCAAACTCATGTGATGAAGCCAAGATATCCCTGATACTAAGTCAGGTAAAGATATAATACAAAAATAATAATTTGAAACACATTCTGAAATATTTTATCCTTCCTATTAAATCACAAAGTTACATTTCCTTTCACCATAATTTTATTTAGACTGTTCAGCTGCTGCTTTGTAGATTTCTGTCTCTTTTGCCCTAGGTAATTTTAAAGAAGAATTTTCAATTATGTTTCCTCCCAAATCCTAAGCATCCTCTCCTCACAACCTGCTTTTCAGTTGGTCTCCTGGAGATTTCTTTCTCTGAGTAACCAAGAACTTCATTAATTGAGTGGAATTCATTCTTAAATGCATACACTACCTATTTTTAAAACTAATTCTTAGCCACTGAATCAGAACCAACTCTGAAATGAGCCTCCAACAGATTTTCAGAGGCCTGAAGAGATTGTTTGTCTTTCAAGCCTCCAGGGAGGCACTGTACTTGGGTTAACCGAACAACATGCTTCAGATCAAGCCACCAGAGCTCATATTTCCTCATATTTTGCATTATGGTTTTACTTTATAATTTGTTTGGGGGAAAAATTAGGGTAAAATTATATTTTGTAGATATTTTACAGACTTCATACTGATTAGTATTAAAAAAAAAACCCTACTATAATAACTTTCCTCTGCCAGCGAAGGAGGGACAATCTCCTCCTGTAACCAGTCAGATCTGATTTGACAGTACACTCACATAAAAATAATAAAATAAAATAAAATAAAATAAAATTTAAAAATATAATAACTTTCCTGCTACTTTAAATTTTTTATATAAATAAAAATAGATCTTTTTCATTCCTTTGACAAATTCAAGGCTAGTTCTTGAAGCACTGGAGTAAACACATCAAAACATCTTTTTCAACTACAATTCATAGCATTTAGGGAGGTGCCAGTAATTTACTAAAGCATTCCTATCCAATTTTAAGAGTTGTGTCATTACCAAGGGTTACTGAGCAATGTTATTATTATTAGGGTCATGAAGTTAACTCTAACTCATACCAACCATATGAACAAAAAAATCTAAACTTTGCTCTGTCCTGCACTATTCCCAAAATCTCTGCCAGGCTCAAGTCCAATGTTGCAATCACTGTGTGAATCCATCTTGCTAAGAATATTCCTCTCTTTTGCTAATCCTCACTTTTCCCATCATGGTTTCTTTTTCTAAGGGATGGCCACTCTTGACAACATGTCTAGAGTATGTAAGATGAAGTTTTACCATCTTTCCTACTAAGGAGCACCTTCTATCAAGTCAGGTTTATTTGTTCTTTTGCCAGCCCATGGAATATTCACTCCTCTTCACCAATACCACATTTCAAAGGCATTGATTCTGCTTAGGTCTTCTTTATTCATTGTCCAACTTTGGCATGCAAGTGAAGTATTGAAAACACCATGACTTGGGTCAGGTGCATTCTAGCCTTTAAACTAACATCTTTGCTCCTGAATGCTTTTTTAAAAAAAATCCTTTGCGGCATACTTTCCCAGTGCAAAGCATCTTTTGACTTCTTTTTATTTTTTCTAAACTGGAGAACTTAATTTTATTCTTGTAATTTTATACTAAGAAGTCAATAATCCATTTTCCACAACTGATTCAGACTACAATTAATCATTAAATTGTACATATATATCCTATGACTCCAATTTTTAATCTACCACTCTCTCTCAAGTCTAAAGAAAATTATTAATTAATTTGCACATGCACAGATAGCACAGTCCCAGGGACATAACATTTAGCCAGAATTAAGAATAACAGCCAGTTTCAAACTGGCCTGAACCCTGATTGTGTTCCTGGCTCAGGATACCTATAGTAAATTTGCAAATCCACACTAAAGTACAAAAATAAACTAGGGAATGTATGCCTTATAAAAAGCTTTTCACAATAGATTAAAAATTAACATTACAACCTTGCTATGGTATTTTATCCAATTAGCTTTTGAATATGCCTAATTTAACTGTAAATCAAATGCAAATAACTTCATATAGGATCTTTTTTCTTAAAGCTTGCCCAGCATTTCAAAATGGTTATTTAAGTAATATTAACTTTTAAAATGACAAAATATGCTGTACATATTGCACTCTTCTGCTAGACTGGGCCAGCAGATTCCTTGGCAAAATGCATTAAATATACATTTAAGTTAATAGGCACTTGATTGTTGTTGATGTTGTTGGTTTCCATCAAGTCATAGATGACTCATAGCGACCCTATGAATGAAAGACCTGAACACTTGTACAACTTTCATCATTTCTCCAAGTTCATAAGATTTCCAGAGGCAAGCTATTTTGGAAGTGGATGCCACTCCTGCTTCCAAGCTTGTTTTAATTGGGAAGCTCCAATAAACACTGTACATCATGGATAACCATTATCACATTTGACACACCAGTGTCACAGTGTTCAACATCACAGCAACCACAAGTTACCTCTGTACAGCAAATTGACAGACCAGTGTTATGCCACATAAAAGAATGTTTGACCAATAACAATTTGCAGGCCTGAGGGCTGCAGATTAAAATTGCCTACCTTTGGCTTGGTACCATCACTTTCTGTCCACTAGGCCAACTGAGCTCTCTCTCTGTTTTTGTTGTTATTGCTAACTATCATCAAGTTGTAGACAACTCATATAGTTTCAAAATAACCCTGATTATTTCTAAAATCTCTATATCCACAGAAAGCTCAGCAAACCACCACCTGGCATCTTTCTGCTGTACAACACAGGCTACATGTAGGCAAGCTAAAACTACCATGAAAGACGGGTACAATAGGCAAAGATACATTCTGTCTGTATCATTTACTATCCTCCATGCAAGGGGTGGCAACATGTCTTCTTGGCCCATGTCTTACACATACAGGAGCAGAGGTCTATAAGGATGATACACTATCAAGTACAATTCACTAAAAGAAAATTCACATTCTAGGTATATGGTTCGTCCTATAAGAAAACTGCTGCAGAAATGCATACAAAAATCTAGTTTTTAATACAGAAATAGCAGTAGCAATCAATCTTGTGTTTGAGGCTGCTCCAAACTCATCTAGTTTGGATGCCAAAAGCATGCATGTTGAAGCCATTAATACAAAATCTATACTTTTCAGAGACTACCTGGCATAGGATCTCTTAAAATAGACTGTAGCAGTGGCAACTACTTGTCTTAATTTAAGATGTTCACCTTATGCCTTGATAACATTTGTTAAAAAATAGTTGTAATTTCCAATACTCTTCTTCTGAAGGAAACTTTAAATCCTTTTGAGGCTCCTTCAAAACGTCTTTATTACTTGAAATCCATTGCAAATAGTGGATCTCAGCCAAAAATTCCCTACCATGGATCACAGCTTGTCCTGATAAAAAAGCACCTGCCCATGGAGCAAGCGTAGACCCAGCCTGTCCAATAACCAAGCTCCTCGTATATCCATATTTTGATTTCTTGACTGCTGCTATTATAGGTATTGATTGTGGACCCAAGTAAAATTAAATCATTGACAATTCTAATCTTTTCTTTATCGTAATTTGCTGATTGGTCTAGTTGTGCAGATTTTTGTTTTCTTGATGTTACTATTTAAACTTTATAGAATATAAGTTATAGTCTTTGAACTACTTTGTAAGCACTTCAATTCTTATTATTATTCTGCAAGCAAGTTGTGTCATATCCATAAGGTAAGAAGTTATGCTAGTATTCGAAATACCAGCGGCATCGCTCCAAGAATCACAGCAACACAAGCCACACATAACAACAACAGTGGTTACAACAAAGGCCACCAAACATAGCAATAATTGAGTTTTATTCTGTTGAACATTGTTGTTGTTGTTGTTGTTATGTACCATCGAGTCACTTGTGACTCATAGCCACCCTACTATGTACAACAGCCATATATCCTGCTCTGTCCAAACCCTGCTCTGTCCTGTGCCAATCTCACTATCTCTGATACACCCATTCTGATTACCCCAGTCACTGAATCAATTCACCTCGTAGAGGGTCTTCCCCTCCTGCGCTGTCCCTCCACCCTCCCAAGCATGATGTCCCTCTCCAAGGACCGGTCCCTCCTTATAATGTCCAAAGTATGTTAGACGAAGCCTCAGAATCCGTGCCTCCAAGGAGCCACCCAGTTTAACCCTCTCCAGGATGAATCTGTTTGTTTTCCAAGCAGTCCATAGTACATTTAATACTCTTCTCCAGCACGATAACTCAAAGGCATAAATTCTCCTTCTATTCTCCTTAGTCATTGCCCAACTCTCTGATGCATAACAAGTTATTGCAAAGACCATGGCCTGTATCAGATGCACCTTGACACCATTGCTCTTGAGTACTTTGGAGAGGTCCCTAACAGCAGACTCTCCCATCGCAATACATCTTTTAATTTCTTGGCTGCTGGTGTCAAGAGTGTTGACTGTGGAGCCAAGCAGACTAAAATTGTTTACAATCTCAATTTCTTCACCATCCATCCTGATGCTGCCAATAGGTCCAGTAGTGAGAATATTTGTCTTCTTGATATTGAGCCTCAATCCCTATTGAAGGCTGCCGTCCTTGATCCTCTGCAGCAAGCACTTCAAGTCTTCCTCAGTTTCAGCATGCAGGGTTATGTCATCTGCATAACACAGATTATTGAGCTAGATGACACCTGTACTTTCCAAACAAATGTACATTGCTGTCTGTGTAAATTTGATTTAACAATTAGCGAATAATAAGAAGATCACTTTCAAGCATACAAGATAAATGAATTTTCGTGTCATTTGAAGAAGAGCCATGATCTAACAGGCAAAACCCCCAAATCATCCAAACTCATTGCCATCAAGTTGAAACTGATTCATAAATGACCTTCTAGTGGATTTTCTTTTTTTTTTTCATTCAATAAGAATATACAATGTAATTTTTTAGTAATTTAAGGCTGTGCATTCATTATCACAATGAGAGTTTAGAATATTTTATCATCTTTTGGGGTTTTGGTAATACATATGCAAGCTTCTAATTAGCACATTGTTCTTACTTATCCTTTAACAGTGGAAGTTTGTTTGTATGGGTGTTGGGTTTTTTTATTTCCATTAATTCACTGTTGTGCTTTCCTTCCTGCCCACCCCTTCTCAGTTTTTTTTTAAGAGCAAAATAACAAGACAGCCATCCTTGTTATCAGGTACCGTAGAGTCGGAGCTGACCCATAGCTGACCATCCTGCAGGTTTTCAGAGACAGTAAATAGCATAGGAGGAGATTGCCCATCCTTCTCCTGCAGGGCAGCTGGTGGCCTCAAAACGTGTTTCTTCAAGACTGTGGCGCAGCATCTTGCCACTAGACCACCAGAGCTCCCAGACAACCATTACTGGACTGAATATTTATGTTTAAACAAACATATGTTTCAAATATCCACTAAATATTTTTATGTCTCTTCTGAGAGGTCACATAGAAGAAATGTATGATTTATTATCATTATTTTGGTTTGGACATAATTTAGGGTCAAAATTAAGCTCTGGAGGACTAGTGGCCTAATGGCAATAATCTGCACTGCAATCTTGAAGGCACATGGTTCAAGGCCGCCAGCCCCTCCACAGGAGAACGATGGGCAATCTCTTTCCAGGCGATTAACTGCCTCTGAAAAACCACCAGAGGGTCAGCTATGGATCAGTTCCAACTCTATAGTTCATAACAACAAGTTACTAATTTCCATCTCCTAAATATGTACTCTATAACAAGTTTTTAAATATCTTTGGTTTTAATTTTCTTTATTTTAAATATTGGGTGAGCTCTAGTTCTCATTCAATTCTGTAAGTCTGTTAACTGTCATTAAAGACGATACAGAAACAACCTCAATATTTACACTATTTAATATATGTTTACATGCCAGAGCTTATCTTTGAACATATTTTTTATTGAACTTTTCTCTTTATTTCAGATGTTACCTATTATTGTAGCACAACTTGGAGCCCAGGTAAGATGCTTGTATTGGTTTGATGTTACCTTTAAATCATCTTAAAATTGAGTATTTATTTTGTCTAAATTTACCAAGTATCTGAAACAGTTCCAATGTAGTTTTCTTTGTATGAACACTGTAATCATAAGATTAACATTTGCGGAGGTCCACTGCATGCACCCATTCAAAATTTCTAGTTTTCTAACATCCAAACTATGTACATTCCATTTTCCAATTATTAAACAATGTTTATCTTTAATTTTTTCACATTTCAACTGACTTCAAGTCTTGCCTGGAAGTAGTACCACTAATATTACATGTGTTCCTCTACTGTGCATATGGTTTTCAGAGACCTGTTATTTAAGAAGTGGATAGCCAATCCTACTTCCTAGTTTGTCTTAATCTAGGAGCTCTACTAAAACTTATCCATCATGGGTAACCTTTGTGGTATTTGACACACCAGTGGCATGGCTTTCAGTACCATAGCAAACTACAAGTTATCTCAATACTGCAAACTGACAAACAAATGCTGTATCAATTAGAACAATGTTCTCCCCAAACATAACAAACTGACAATTTAGTTTCTAACTCTAATAACAAATTAGTCTTCACACCAACTTTTAATCACAAAGGCCCATGACTGGGTCCTAATTGGTTTAAAGAAGAGGCTTCCAGGCCACAACTGATTCTTAATTAAATCAAAACAACTTATAATTGATTGCTAATTATGTAAAAATGACCAAGCAGCTTACACTTGATTGTTAATTAAAATACCTACCTTCCAGAATCCAACTTCTTCAAACAAGAGGCTCCAAACCAAGACCCTCCTTGGCTCTTCGGACCTCTCCAAATTATTGATAAACAATAATGTCAATTTGGGAACTAGGGTGTGTTTGATTCAGGCCACAGTCCTTATGATCACTTGCTATGCATCTGAGAGCTGAACAATGAATACATATGATCGAAGAATAGATATCCTTGAGATCTGGTGTTGGAGGAAGAGTTCAGAACATTCCATGGACTACCAAAAGAACAATCTAATATGTCTTATAGAGGGCGCAGTTAGACTGCTTTTTGGAAGCAAAAATGAAATTTTACCTCACATACTTTGAGTATTCTTGCTAGTAGGGGCTATTCCTTGAAAAGGGACATGATGCTCAGAAAGGTAGAGGGTCAGTGAAGAAAAGAAAGACCTTTGACCAGGTGGGTTGGCATAGTGACTGTTGCAATGGGCTCTACTATGTCAGGAAGTGTGAAGATGGCACAGAATAGGGAAGAGTTTAGATTGGTTGATCATAGGGTTGCTATGGATCTTACTCAAGTTGACAGCACCTAACAACAACAACAACTGGATGCATCTGGAATGCTGGCTTCAAGATCTGGTTGGAAAATCGGGAAATATGTATGTCAGAGTTATAGCCTTTCTCCATAATATTCAGTCTACACATAGCAAATAATTCAAGAAGTTGAACTCTATGAAGAACAATGTGGGATCAGAATTGGAGGAAGACTCATAAACAACTTGCATCATAAAATTGATTCAACCTTGCTTACTGAAAGTTAGGAAGACTTGAAACACTTGCTGCAGAAGGTCAGAGAATAAAGCCTTCCATACAGATTGCACATCAACATCAAGAAAATAAAAATCCTCATAACAGGGCTAATAGGCAGTGTGATAATAGATGCAGAAAGTATTTTAATTGTCAGCTATTTCATCTTAATTTGATCCACAATCAACACCATTGGGACCAGCAGTCAAAAGATCAGGGGACATATTACTTTGGGCCAATCCACTGTCGGGGAACACTCCAAAAGTACTGAATGCAAAGCAACGCTATTGGTTCATAATTTAAGGTGCACCTGATTCATGCCATGGTCTTTTAGTGGCAACCACTTCCTAAACAACATGCCTCTGGAAACTCTATGAATTTTGATCAATGATGATACTTATAGAAAGGCTTCAGGCCTTTTGTTTATAGGGTCGCTATGAGTCATGCTTGACTTGACGGCAATCAACAACAACAATAATGTATCTGAAAGCTGAACAATGAATAAGAATGACAGAAGAACCTATCCTACAGACACAAAAGAACAAATAATTATGTTTTGGAGTGGGGGAGGAAATGCAGCCATAATGTTCCTTAGAGGCAAAGATGGTGAAGCTTCATTTCACATACTTTGGGTATGTTGGTAAGAGAGACTATTCCTTGAAGAATGACAGCAAGCTTAGAAAGGTGTAGGGTGAGTCATATGGCTTGAATGGGTGACTGGAGCAATGGGCTTAAATGAGTCAGAAATAATAAGGATACCACAGAATAAGACAGGGTTCAGTTCTGTTTCTGTTCATAGAGTGGCTATGAGTTGTAGACTACTCAACAGCACCTAACAATAATAACCTCATGCTAAATGTAGTTCTAACTATTGGGTCTGGTTTTAATTGGTTTTGGTCAATCATTCTTCTAAATGGTATAGCACTGGTCTATCCATTTGCTGTACGGAGGTAACTCGTGGTTGCTATGATGCTAAACACGGTGACACTAATGTGTCAAATGTGATAATGGTCACCCATGGTGGACAGTGTTTGGTGTAATTCCCTGTTTAAAACATGTTTGGAAGGAGGAGTGGCATCCACTTCCAAAATAGCTTTCCTCCGGAAATCCTATGAAACTGTAGAAATGATAAAAGTTATATTAGTGTTCAGGTCTTTCATTTATAGGGCTACTATGAGTCATCTGTGACTTGATAGAACTTAACAACAACAGCAATATAACAGACAACAATAAATCTGAACCCTATCTTTTCCTGTACCATCCTTATAATTTCTGATATTTAATCCCTTTGCCACAGTCACTGTGTAAATTCAAATAGTTGAGGCTCTTAATCTCTTTCGTTGACTCTCCAACTTTCCAAGCATGAAATAGCCTCTTCTAACAAAATACCCAAAGTACGTGAGATGAAGTTCACCATTCTTGTCTTCAAAGAGCACTCTGGCTGCACTTTCTCCAAACACATGTGTTTGTTCTTTTGGCAGTCCATGGAACACTCAGAACTCTTCTCTAATACCATGGCTCAAAATCATCAATCCTCCTTCTGTCATCCTCATTCATTGTCCAGCTCTCAGATGCATAGGTAATGAGTAAAAAGACCATGCCTTGAATCAGGCACAGCTTATTCTTAAGCTGACACCATTGCTCTGATCTTTGGAGATGTCCCTGATAGCAAACTTTCCCACAGATGTATTGCTGTGATACGTCTTTTACACTATCTGAAAATAGAATAATACTAATAAAAGATTCACATCAACATGTAATTCTACTCTAGGAACATACTCTTCTAAAAATACAGAAAGATAGAAAATGTTCATATTTAAATATTCATTAAAAATATTAATGGTGGAGAAAAATATTGGGTTAAATTTAAATTTACAACAAAAGAAAATGAGCTAAGTAAACTGCAACACAAGAGTAAATAACATATAACCACTCAAAATTATATGTATTAAAAGTTGTCTATAACATGGTAAGATGATTGCTATGTAATCTTAAAGAACAAAGGAATCAATTTCTTCTGTAAACTTTTATTCAAATCACACCATTTCTATTGTTATGCACAGGAGAGTCAGATCTAATTCTTGGCTGACCCTTCGGTGGTTTTCCAGGGGCAGTAAATTGCAGAGGAGAATGTTTTCCATTTTTCTTCTGCAGACCGGCTGGAAGATTTTAACTGCCTGCATTTGAGTTGACAGTGCATGTCTTTACTCACTAGGCCACTAGAGCCCCTTCAAATCACAGTATCAAGTTTTAGTGTTAAAAAAGAGCCAAAAAGACCCCACAAAACTTTATGTGCATACATATATGTATACGTATATATAAAATAAAAGTGTGTGTGTATTTATATATTCAATAAAAAAGTTTGTGTATATATAATAAAAGTGTGTGTGTGTGTATATATACACACACACACACTTACATCTGTTACGTACCCAAAAAAAGTGGCAAACATCTGTTAGAAAATACATCAAACACGTTATGATGGGATTGTTGTTGTTGTTAAGTGTCGTCGAGTCATACACGATTCATAGTGACCCTTATGAACAAAAGACCTGAACACTTGTATAACTTTTACAGTTTCTCCAAATTCTTAGTTTCCAGAGACAAACTATTTCAGAAATGGATCCCACTCCTGCTTCCAAGTTTGTTTTAGTTGGGAAGCTCCACCACAAAACACTGTCCACCATGGGTGACCATTTGACATATCAGTGTCACAGTGTTTAACATCACATCAACCCTGAGTTACCTCTGTACAGCAAATGAACAGACTAGTGCTATACCACTTAGAAGAATGTTTGACCAAAAACAAAACTAGGCCTAAGGGTCACAAATTAAAATCACTATGGTGGGGTTTTAAAAAAAGCTAAAAATGATGGGATTAGCTTTATTTTTTTCCTTTTTATTATTTTCTGTGTTCTTCATGCTTCCTGTAATATGTTTATATTGCTTAATATTCATAAAATATACTATGCTTAGTAAGTATATCACCTCATATCCCTTTGATAATAAGTTATATCAATTAAATATCATGATGACTTGAATTTTGTGACCCAGATCACAAAGGAAGCTTAAGATGTTATGTTTAATGCAAGATCTTTTTCTTTTCTAGAAAACCATAAAAGTATTTTAACTCTCAAAGTTAAATGATATATATCTTACCTACAATGTGTTAAAATCTCTCTAATAATTTATATCTATTCTCTTTCTTCTAGGGTGTTATCCTAAGTTCGGAAGAATTGGTAAAAAAAAATGCTAACATTTCAAATCATTTTCATTTCTACCATAATTCTGCTTTCAGTCTTCACTTTGTCTCTCTTGACCACAAACCCTAAATGCTTTGCATATTGCAACAGACTAGACCTTTATATATGTCCTAGCTTTAAAGGGAGCTCTGGTGGCCAGCTGGTAAGAAGCTGTGTTGCAATTCCTAGGGCAAGTAGGCTAGAATCCACTAGCTGCTGTGCTGGAGAATGATGGGCAGTGATATATTGTGATATATTGCCTCTGAAAAGCCACTAGAGGTCAGCTATGGGTTGGTTCTGACTCAGTGGCACACAACAACAAAAAGAAGAAGGATTACATTAGTATAGCATTATCTTTTTCTCTTTTTTTGGTGTTTCATTCTCCTTTTAGGGTTGCTTTTTCATTAATTTAACTCTTTTTACATACATTCCTAATAGATACTGGGACATCAGCGCATATAATTTTTCAATTTTATGTTGGTTAAAATTCAGGACTATAAACTACTAGTGTATATGTAAATACAGATATTAATATTGATACTTCTTATAGAAAAGATACATTTTGCCGTGAGGGATTTTTTTTAAGAGAAAATATACCCTTCTTATAATCTCTGGTAGTAATTCATCTAACTAATCTTACACGCACAAATAACTGAAGAGCTAAAGCTAAATAAAGCTTATTTTATTTCTTTGTATTATCAATATTCAGAGAAAATTATGTAAATTAACATGATATCTAAATATGATACTAGAACTGAAATATTGAGAAACTATCTGGAATACAGGTTTTAAACCATCTTTTGTTATTAAGAGACTTTTAGTATCTTGTTTATAACTAATAATTGAGTAATGAAATTAATATTTTACATGAACACATACAGTTTATTAAGCCCCTTTCATCTATAATAGAATGTCAGTAGATATTTTACGTGTAATATCTTTAACCTACACCAAACTATATTATTGTTGTTGTTATTGTTAGGTGCTGTGAAGTCAAGTACATCTCATACTGACCCTATGAACAAAAGATCTGAAACTTGTACTATTTTGTCCCATCCTGACTCACAAGAGCCCATTGCAGCAGTCACTGTGTCAGACCATCTCGTTAAGGGTCTTCCTCTCCTTAGCCAACCCTCCACACTTCCCAGTATCATTTCTTTCTCCAAGAAATAGTCCCTCCTATCAACATGCCCAAAGTATGTGAGGTGAAGTCTCATCATTCTTGCTTCCAAAGAGTACTGTGATTGTACCCTCTCCAAGACATATCTGTTTGTTCTCTTGGCTGTCCATGGTATGTTTAGTGCTCTTCTCCAACACCACAGCTCACAGCATCAATTCTTTTTCTGACATCCTTATTCATTGTCCAGCTCTCAGATTTATAGCAAGTAATTGGAAAGGCCATGGTCTGAGTCAGATGCATCTTAGTCCTCAACTAACATTATTATTCTTCAATTATTTGGAGAGGTCCCTAACTACATAGCAGAGGGGATTTTATTTTGCTTTACAGATAAAATAATTATGTGACTCAGCATGCTTAAGCAATTTAATTCCTGAAACAACAGAATATATTCAAATATAAAATAATTTTCTACTCACTATACTAGTGATTTTCAAACTAATTTTACTACAATTCACAGTAAAATTTTCATGCGATGTAACTCAACACAAACACACACAACACCTCAAGTATAAGAAACAACACCTTTACTATGTGAAATGCACACCATTAATTTATAGTATGTTCTTTTCCTTTTTAATAATTGTCATTGCCCATCTTTTTTTCTTTCAAAACGCTAGTTGTTGTTTATTTGAAAAATTTTGCATTTTACTTCTATCTTTTATCCAGCATAAGGCAAAATCTGGTTTCAATACTCCTTAGACTTAACACAGTTTTTACCAACTTCTTTTTTTTTTTTTTTAGTTTTTACCAACTTCTTAGACCACCAAATAACTAGCCCTTTAGGTACTAGTTTAAAAGGGAGACCAGTGAGCCAATTCTGCTTCTCAGAATCTCTAGCAATAGAACCTGAGAATCTGCCTTTTAACAAATTCGTCAAATTGTTCTTAAGCAAACTAAAATTTAAAGACAACATCCAAGAAATCTGATTTGTTACTTACTTATGAATCTTCAACACTTTTAGAGATTCAAACCCTAAGCCCATACTTTGGGAGGCAAGTATTTCATCTAAGCCATTGAGGCCTACTTTGGGCAGGTTGTCAGGAAAGGCAAGATCCTGGGAAAGGACAACATGTCTAGAAAGGTGGAGGGCCAGAGGAGAGGAAGAACTTCTACAAGATAGAACGACATGCCTTTCTATGAAGATAGCACCAAAAGAGAAGGAAGCCCCTGCCCTTCCCAAAGCTGAAGCCAAAGCAAAGGCATTAAGGCCAAGAAGGCAGTCCTGAAGAGCATCTACAGCCACAAAAAAAAAGATCTGCACATCACCCACCTTCTGGAGGCCTAAGACATTGAGAATCCACAGGCAGCCTATGTGCCCCAGAAGAGGGCACCCAGAAGAAACAAGCTTGACCAATATGCTATCATCAAGTTTCCCCTGATCACTGAATCAGTCATGAAGATGATAGACGATAACAACACACTTGTGTTCACTGTGGGTGTCAAGGCCAACAAACACCAAATTAAATAAGCTGTAAAGAGGCTCTATGACATTGATGTGACTAAGGTCAACACTTTGATTAGGCCTGATGGAGAGAAGAAAGAAGGTCTATGCTCGATTTACTCCTGACTATGATGCTTTGGATGTTGCCAACAAAATTGGAACTGAGTCCAGCTGGCTAATTCTAAATACAAATTTTTCTCATCATAAAAAAAAACCAAAGATGAAAAAAATAAAAATAAAAAAACCAAGAAAAATTTTTTTAAAAAAGATGGTATGACACAGTGACAGAACAATAGACTGAAGCAGAGGAGATTATAAAGATAGTGTAGGTTCTGACAAGTTTTAAGTCTGTTGTGATCTTGGGGTCTCTATGAATTGAAGTGGAATAAACATTCCTAACAACAATGACAAAACTTTTACTATATGAAAAGTCAATAATATTAGTCCCATGTGAATGCTCCTGGCCTGCTGGCTCGGCTCCTGGTTTGCCTATAGGTGCAGCTTGCCAACTTCAATGCAAGAGTTGGAAACAAGGAAGAAGGACAAGTAGTTCAGAAAATATGGGCTTAGTGACAAAATGAAGCTGGCAGTAGACTGATAAAATTTATAATCAATTATTTATTCATTATAAATATTATTGCTATTGTCATGTGCCATCGATCGAGTCACTTGTGACTCATAGTGATTCAATGCACAATAGCTCTGAATCCTCCTCTGTCTCTGGCTAATTATTATTTCCGACACACCTAACCCCATTACTTCAGTCACTGAGTCAGTTCATCTCCTCGGGGGTCTTCCTCTCCTGTGCTGTCCCTCCACCCTTCCAAGCATGGTGGTGTCCTTCTGTAAGGACTGGTCCCTCATGGAAACATACCCAAAGTAGCTTTTATAAAAAAACACAAATGGTGATTCTTCACATCAACCTCACCTGAGTGACTACACATGCATCAGATTCAATCTACAGAAAGAATAGTTGAAGAAGCTCAACATCAGCTGTGAAAACCAGGTTAGGAACAGGTTATGGAACAGACAATCAACTACTAATGTGCAAATTCAAGTTGAAGCTAAAAAAAATTTCATAAATATGCAAGAACCAAAATATGACCTTGAGTCTAACCCATGGGAGTTTAAAAGACATCTCAGAATAGGTTGGACTCACAGAATACTGATGAACAAAGATCAGATAAGCTGCGGGAGGATATCCAGGATATCATCCATAAAGAAAGCAAAAGGTCACCACAAAGATAGAGGAAGAAGAAAATACCAAAATAAATGTCATAAGAGATGTGACTATTACTCTAGAATGCCAGGAAGTCAAAACAAAGAGGGGAAAAAAATAAGTCAAAAGAGATAAAAGATTTCAAAATGTAGCTTGTGAAGACAAAACAAAGTATTATAATAAAATGTACAAAGAGCTAGAGTCAGTAAATCAAAAGGGCAAAACTCACTCAGCATTTCTCAATCTGAAGGAACTGAAGAATAAATTCAAGCCTTGAGTTGCAGTATTTAAAGATGCTATGGGCAAAATCTTGAATGATCCAGGAAGCATCAAAAGAAGATGGAAGAATTACACAGAAGCATTGTACCGAAAAGAATTGGCAGACGCAGAACCAATTCAGGAAGCAGCATATGATCAAGAACCAATGATAATAATCAGTTCAGGCTGCTCTGAAGGAATCACAAAAAATAAGGCCCCAAGAATTGATGAAATACCAATTGATTTATTTCAACAAACACACACAACTCTGGACGTACTCACCAGATTGTGCTAAGAAATCTATAGAACAGCTACTTGCCCAACTGATAGGAAGAGATACAGATTTATTCCCATTCAAAAAAAAAAAGAGATGATCCAACAGGAAGTGGAACTATTAAACACTATCACTAATATCACAGGCAAGCAAGATATTGCTGATGATTATCCAAAAACACCTAGAACTGACAGAGAACTGCCAGGAATACAAGTTGGGTTAAGGAGAGGCCAAGGCACTAGGCCATGGCATCATTTCTGATGTCGGATGGATTTTGACTGAAAGCAGAGAGTACCAGGATAGATATTTGTCTTTTACCAACTATGCAAAGGCCATGTGGATTGCTACAAATTGTGGCTAACTAACAGAAGATTGGGAATCTCAGAACACTTGATTATACTCTTGTGAAACTTATACATAGACCAAGAAGCTGTTATCCAAACAGAACAAAGGAACTCTGTATGGTACAAAATTAAGGAGCTCACCGGAGATACATTCTTTCTCCATATGTTTTCAATCTAAATGCTAAATAGATCATTGGAGAAACTGTATTTTATGAAAAAGAATGTGGCATCAGGACTGGAGGATAAGACATCAACAACCTGCATTCTGCAGATGACTCAAACTTGCTCACAGAAACTGAGGAGGATTTGAAGCATTGGCTGCAAAAGATCAAGGACTGCATGCAACCCTTAATATGGATTGCATCTTAATATCAAGAAAATAAAAATCCTCACCACCTGGCTGATAGACAGCATCATGAGAGAGGGAGGAATGATTGAAGTTGTTAACTATTTCATCTTGCTTGGATCCACAATCAACACCCTCGGCACCAGCAGTAAGGAAATCAAAAGACAAGTTTTGGGGAAATTTATCAGGAATCTGCCCAGAATGCTAAAGAACAACAAGGTCAGTCTATAAATTAGGGTACGCCTGATCCAGACCATGGTCTTCTCAATTGCTTTTTATACATCTGAGACTATGACTATGACTGATTTCAGAAGAACTAATGCTTTTGAGTTTTCATGCTGGAGAAGAGTGTTGGACATACCATGGACTGCCAGGAGAAAAACAGGTCTGTCCTGATGAAATCAGCTTCCTTCTTGAAGGCAAGGATTTTGAAACTCCGTCTCACATAATTTGGACATGGTAGGAAAAGAAAGTCCTGGGAGAAAGATTTCAAACTTAGAAGGGTGGAAGATCAGTGCAGAAGAAGAAGACTCTGGATGAGATGGATTGACAAATGGCTATGGCAATGGGGTAAAATCTGTCAGAGGCTGGCTCAGGATAGGGCAAGGTTCAGAGCCACTGTTCACAGTTCACATAACAGCAACAACAACATTAGTCCCAGAGAATTACTTCCAACCTGTATCCTTTCTACATCCAAGCACTGTCAAGTTATTTTATTTTGGAGCAACTATTCATAATATTTTTTCTCAAAAAAAAAAAGTGTAAGCAGTAAAAGCATTCGTTATCAGTGTACAAATGACTGATGGCCCCTTAGAGAGGATATTGGAAATAACCTTAAGGAGCACTCAGGTAGCAAAATTGCCAAAAAATAATAAATTTCTGACTCACTGTCAAAATATTTTAAAAAGGACTTTGAGGAATATAGCAATTAGGGATATAATAGATTAATCTATTTACTTGTTTTTCTATTCATTTTTATCCCTTTCATTACTTTAGTGAGTTCTGGTAGCCTACTGCGTAAGGAATTGTGCTAACAACCCAAAGTCAGGCAGTTCAAATCCACCAGCTGCTATGCAGGGGAAAGATGGGCAATCTTCTCCTGATTGAAAGACTTGTAAAACCTGTGGGAAGCTCATATATAATCCGTTTTGAGTCAAAGCTAATTGAGCTTGAGTTTCATGGCTTAAATTAATCCTTACAGGCAAAAGAGAAGCTATGGTTTAAATAAGAACAGCCTTTATCTCCATAATTACATTAATTTGGAGGCTTAGAAATTCTAGAAATAAATAGAATTTATTTCTAGAAATGCTAATGAAAGCAAATTATTCATCATTCCTTTTCCTATGACTGGCTTCATTTTTACTTCCTTTTTCAGAAGAAGATCACAGGAAGGATTTCCAATAATGAAACCAGTGGGGGGCGGGGGCTCAGGAGAGGGAAACATTCCATCTGAGGAATGTCAAATCTTATTTTCTCTGACTTTATCCCTTTAGTCTTTCTCTTCCTGCTTAAATGTGTTGCCCTCAAAAAAGAAAATAAAGTTGGCTTGGTTAGTCTTAACTCTACGCCTTCTGACTTTGTGCTTCTTTTTCACTCCTCATTGTAGCCTGTAGCTCCACAAATCTTTGCAGGCCTCCTCATCCAGCCCCTGTACCCAGGAGCCATCCTGCCCACCAGTCAGGCAGGGGCTACTCCAGAGTTGCAAGAGGGAACCCTTCCTGCAGGACAAACAGGAGTAAATCCTGCCATACAAAGAACCCCAGAAGATCACCTCCCAACCCCTACTGGCACAGATGATGTGTTTGGAGGTACCACACCTGCCAGCCTCCAAAGAAGCATGTACACCACTGAGGAAACCACCACAGAATCACCAGATGGTAAGTTCTCTAAGGAGAGAAAAGGAAAATGATCTGCAGAGTAGGAATGGAGACTATTTCATTTTACCTTAGCAAACATATTATTGTTGTTATGTGTTGAGTAGGGACTGACCCATAGCAGGTTTTCAGAGGCAATAAATCACAAAGGAGGAGGCTGTCCATCTTTCTCCCACAGAGCTGCTGGTGAATTCAAACTGCAAGTCTTCAGTTTGGCAGTGCAGCTTCTTAACAAATATGGGCTTGAAGAAAATGAAGAAGCCCTTCTAACAATTTACAGTTGATTGCAACAAAAGGGAATATTTTAATTGAGCCCTAGATGAGGAAAGATGTGTGTCAGGGTTGTATCCTTTCTCCTTATCTATTCAGTCTGTACACTGAGTAAATCATTCAAAAATCTGGACTCTACAAAGAAGAATGTAAGATTAGGATTAGAGGAAGACTCATCAACAACCTGCATTATACATTTGATACAATCTTGCATGCTGAAAATGAGAAGGACTTGAAATGCTTGCTGCAGAAGATAAAAAAACTACAGCCTTCTGTATGTATTGTATCTCAAGATCAAGAAAACAAAAATCCACAACATCATAATAGATTGGGGAAAAAACTGACATCAAGAATTTCATTGTATCTTGGATCCACAATAACCCTTTGTACCAGCAGTCAATAGATCAAGAGACATATTGCACTGGGCAAGTCTGCTGTCAGGGACTTCTCCAAACTGTTGTGGAAAAATTATGTCATTTTCAAGCTTAGCTAAGGGGCATCTGAGTCGAACCATGGTCGTTTTGATCACTTACTATGAATCTAAGGACTGGATAATGAATAAGGAAGACAGAAAAAGAATTAATATCTTTGAGTTGTGGAGAAGAGTACTGAGTTGGAGAAGAGTACTGAATATCTCATGACGTCCAAAAGAACAAAGAGATATATCTTGGAGAAAGTGCAGCCAGAATGCTCCTTGAAGGCAAAGGTAGCAAAGCTCCATCTCACATACTTTGGGAATATTACTAGCAGAGGCTAATCCTTGGAGAGAGACATCATACTTGGAAAGGAGGAGGGTAAACAGAAGAGATGAAGACCTTAGCAAGATGGATTGACACTGTAGCAATGGACTCAAGAGTGTCAGAGATGATCAAGATGGCATAGGATAGGAAAGGGTTTAGATCTGTTTTTCATAGGGTCACTATGAGTCACACTGTAACAACTGGCTTTGAAGATAGGCCACTAGCATTGTTTATATTATTAACCTTGAAAAGGGGGGGAAAGACATTTAACTACTAGCATCACTGCTTTACACATTGGGTCAGGCAAGAAATATTTGAAAACAAATTGTTCTTCTCTTCCCATAGCAGTGTTTCAAGTAACCAAAGCACAAACCCAAGCAGATGTAGTGAAACAGTTAAGATATTCTGTTCCATTGACTGATCCTGAACAAGCCTCAGATTCTTCTCAATGTGACACTACAATAAGGAACTGGTAATAGATTGAAGTTACTACAATATTAGCTAATTAGAACTTTGTACCAGTATCCTCAATGAAGTTTGATGAAATATTGCCGAAGATAGGTTCTGCTTGCACAAAAAAGCAAAGATAATCATACTATCTTTGGGTATATCTAGAGCCAAGTATCTTTCGAGATAATAAAAGAATGACTTGATATTGGTCCTGCTGCTCCTATAGAGATGGAGAGAAGAGGAACTATAATCTCAAGCCAAAATGTAAAAATTAAATGTGATTTTATCTGCATTTAAAATATACTTTCTTTTCTTCCAGGGATTTAGTGAGCTGCTTATGTTTTCAGCTAAGCCTTCACCAAGATGTAGTGATGTACATGAATCTTTTTCAAAGACCATCTGATAGCATAATCGAGTGAAACACACTGAAGAATATCAGAAGAAAGCAATAATTCTTTTACATGAAAATTTATTTGAATCTTGGAAAATATATTCTACCTAAAAAGTATAAATTTTTAGGAGGAAAAAAATAATGAAATGGAAAAGTTTCCTTGAGTTGTAATAGTATACCATCTTTTACCTGAAAAATAACATATTAAAAAGCATTTTGAAAACTTACTCTTTTTCTTTTTGGGGGGGATAAAATAATATTTGACTCTTTCTTAAATTACACTTGCCCAAGGTACTTAAATGAAAAATTTTTATTCAGGACTTTGGAAAAAGGAGCATTATGGCCAAGGGAGGGTGTCATCTTGTGAATATAAGTTCTGATTTTCTCACAACCACCCAATCTATCTCATAAGGAACACAAACTTACTTTTTAATGAGCAAAGTACTCTTGATCATCTAAATAATACTTTAACAACAAAGGATTAAAAATCAAGTTGCCTGTCCTCAATGAGCTTATACTCAGAGCACCAATGATTGGGGTGGTTGACATTTCATTTTGCTATTTGAGAGTAGGAAACATCACCAGGAAAAAAGGGGTGAAATGGAGGGGACAGAGTGATACTCTTTTTTCCTAATATCAAATAGATTTTCATTCAGAGTTATAAGGGTAGGTATTAATTTATTTCATATGTTTAATGATTAAAAATAACTTTTGATCGCAGTCACGTTGACATTTTCAACATGTGATTCAATACTCAAACTGATTGTCACTGAAACAATCTCAGAGCAGACCCTCCTCTGGGTTTCCATCTTTTTCCATGGGGGCCACTGGTGAATTCAAGCTGCCAGAGAGGTTCAGCTTTTAGATGAGGAGCACAACTCCCTGTGGAAAGCTCTATAGTATATAAATGTGGAAGAGATTTAAAGTGTGTGTGTGTGTGTGTGTGTGTGTGTGAGAGAGAGAGAGAGAGAGAGAGTTGGAATAAGAGAGACATTTTAAGAGAAATTTGGTAAAGATGATTATAAAATCCTAAGGGGTCTCTAAAATCTTTTCAATAGGCAAAAAAAGAAAAAGAAAGTTCATTATAAATAACAACAACAATATAATAATACCTAGATTTTTGCTTTTGTTTTTCCCTAAAATCTTTTCAATAGGCCAAAAAAGAAAAAAAAGTTCATTATAAATAACAACAACAATATAATAATACCTAGATTTTTGCTTTTGTTTTTCATTCTCTTTCTCTCAAGAGTATATAGTGAATTATCAAAAAGCTACATATATGATATGAGTAGATCATATATGAGTGCTCTTGGGAGACAATGATGAGGCTTTGCCTCACATACTTCGGGCATGTTGCTAAGAAAGACTATTCCTTGGAGAAGGAAGGGAAGGGTAGAGGGTCAGTGAAGGAGAGGAAGAATCTCAACAAGGTGAATTGACACAGTGACTGCTGCAATAGATGCTTGTGTGTCACTAAGTGTGAGGATAGCACAGGATAGAGTTCGGGTTCTTTTGTTCATATGGTTGCTATGAGTCATACCCAACAGCACCTAACAATGTATTGCCACAGATACAACTAGAGAGTAGAAATACAAGTATCATACTGTTATCTATTAAATCAGACTTTAAAAATGTTTCAAGAATAAAATCACTCTCCTCAATCAATACGATCAATTAAGCACTCTTCAAAAATATTTTAAAACATAGTTCATTTTTGTTTAAAAAACCCATCATTTACAATAACATCTAGACAGAAAATTGATGCTGTATTTTTATTAATGGGTTGCAAATAGCTTAAGATATAAAGAGGTCATTCTTAGAGAAGGACATCATGTTTGGAAAGGTGGAGGGTTGGCAAAAGAGAGGCAGACCCTCAACCAGATGGATTGACACAATGGGCTCAAATGTGTCAGACGTAATGAGGATGGGACAGGGTAGAGCGGGGTTCAGATAGACCTGTTGTTCACAGAATGGCTGTGAGTCATACTCAACTTGATGACACCTAACAATAACAAAAGAAAAAAATGTTTAATTCCTCAGTTTTAATATCTAAATGGTAACACATAAAATCAGAATTACCCTCAGCACAGCAGGATTGCTGGAATTGCTTCGACGACAAAATTTCCATCTATATTAATTAATTAAGTTAATGATTATAGCTTAAGAGCAATTTAAAATGACCTTAATTATACCACTATTACCACAATGTAGCATGCTTCAATGGCAGAGAAAGGTAAGCCTTTGCCAGCAGAACTACTGTATTTCATCTTTACATTTCATAGAAATGCAATGTTCTAATTTAAAATAGCTGTATTTATTGTCTTGTTGTTAAGTGCTTTCGGGTCGTAGGTTGTTGTTAAGTGCCGTCGAGTCGCATAGCGACCCTATGAAGGAGAGTCCTCAATGCTTGGGTGTCTCTCATCCTCTCTCCAGGTTCATAGGGTTTCCAGAGGCAAGCTATTACGGAAGTGGATGCAACATCTCCTTCCAAGCTTGTTTTAATCAGGGAGCTCCACCCCACTCTCTGTCTGCATTGGGTAACCAGCCATTAACGCATTTGACACATCAGTGTCATAGTGTTCAGCCTCACAGCAACCACAAGTTACCGTTGTACAGCAACTTGTACACCAGGGCTATATGACGTAGAAGAATGTCTGAACAAAAACAATGAAAGACAGGCCCGAGGAGCGCAGATTAAAGTCACCCACCTTCGACTTGGTAGAATCAGCATCACCTTCTGTCCACTGGGCCAGCTGATCTCTCTCTCTCCACGTTAATATTATTTTTGTTAGGTGCCGTCGAGTCGTAGGCAACTCATAGCGACCTCAACGTTTGGGTGTCTCTCATCTTCTCTCCAGGTTCATAAGGTTTCTGGAGGCAAGCTATTTCAGAAGTGTACACCACTCCTGCTTCCAAGCTTGTTTTAATCAGGGAACTTCACCAAACACTTTCCACCATGGGTGACCATTATTGAATTTAACACATTAATGTCACAGTGTTCAGCATCACAAGTTATATCTGTACAAAAATTGGACAGACCAGTGCTATAACAGCAACAACAAAGAGAGAGCTCAGTTGGCCTAGTAGACAGAAAGTGATGCTACCAAGCCAAAGGTGGGTGACTTTAATCCGTGACACTCAAGGCTGGTTTTAACTATTTTTGGTCTAACATTCTTCAAGGGCTATAGCACGGGTCTGTTGATTTGCTGTACAGAGGTAACTCATGGTTGCTGTGATGCTTAACACTGTGAAACTGATGTGTCTGTCAAATACGATAATGGTCAGCCATGGTGGACAGTGTTTGGTGGAGCTCACTGATTAAAACAAGCTTGGAAGCAGGAGTGGCATCCACTTCCGAAATAGCTTGCCTCTGGAAACACAATGAACCTGGAGAAACGATGAAAGTGATACAAGTGTTCAGGTCTTTCATTCATAGAGTCGCTATGAATCGCCTACGATTCGACAGCATTTAACAACAACATATTTATTTTCACTTACAAACGATGTTTTAAATTTCTTGCTATCAAATAAATTTGATGTTGTAAGAAAACTTGCCATTTTTTACTGAACATTAGAATGAATGAAAGTGGCAAACAAATTGCTTATTGTACTGCTGCAGATATATGAACTACCAAGATTGATCTTGATAACATCTATTTCATTTCGTTTCCACCTAAAATAAAAGACATGCTGACCTGAGACCTGGATGACAGTAAAAGAATTGACACCATTGAGCTGTGGTGTTTGGAGAATAGCATTGAACATCCCATGGATGGCCAACAGAACAAACAGATATGTCTTGGTGGAGTGTGTTTTGGAGGAAAGAATGATTAGGCTTCGCTTCACATACTTTGAACATGTTGCTAGGAGGTGCTATTACTTGCAGGGGGACATAATATTGGGAAGGGTGGAGGGTCAGCAAGGAAGAGGAAGACCCTCAACCATGTGGATTGACATGATGACTGCTTCAATGGGCTATTTTGTATTAGGAAGTGTGAGGATGGCGCAAGACAGAGCAGAATTCGGATATTTTGTTCATAAATTTTCTCGCTATGAGCTGTGCTTGGTTTGATGGCATCTACCAACAACATGGGAAATGTCAAACACAATCCTGTCACAAGAGACCTGCCTTTTAAATGAGATGTCAATAAGAATTGAAATCTTTGCTACAAGTTTTTTTATACCTAATCATTGGTTAGTTTCTTGCTAGTCTCTAGAATTAATAATTTTTTTTCTCTTTCATAGTAGATGTTAGGTTGTTGTAACTATATAATGTCCCAAGATATGATATTGTTAAGTGAAGGTCATGTATATTGGTGTTCCCCTCCTGTTTTCCCAATGTAGGATGACTGTTGCCCTCCAGAGACCTCTGCTCTACCAGAACTCTTCCACTTGATGTTCAGAAATCCCACGTGATATAGCTAGACAACAGTGTTCAAGGCCAAAGTACCTCTCTTCTCTATTCTATGGGACAGTTCAGTGTCTGGTCCTTGAGTTCATTCTTGTACTAGTTGCAGGTAACATCTTGACAGGATTTTGGTTATTGATGATTTCCATTTATTTTGGCCTGAGAGTCATAGGCCTGAGGACCCTAACCTATGAAAAGAAATAGACCAATATGGCAGCAGGAGACAG